TATATATATATATATATATAATATTCAAGTATGTAAATAAAAATACACATATATTGATCGTAATTTCATTTATATAAATGAATTTACAGATATTTTAATTATATATATTGAATACATACATACATATATACACACATGTGTGTGTGTGTTCAATAATTGTTATGTAAATAACAATAGAGCTATATGAGATAAAAGCATCAAAAAAATATTGGCTGTGACCAACAATAATGAATAGTCAAATTAATTTAATGTTTTGATAATAATTACATCAATAAGAAAAACAAAGTTTGAGAAAAAAGAACATTAGGATTGTGATTCCTAAAAATGTCACCTTATTGTTGGTGTTTTTTCTTACAAAATTACAAATTAAGAAACTATATAAAAATAAAAGACAAAAAATGAATCCACAACAAAAACAAAAACAATCAAAATTCTCTCAAAATTCTAAGCCTCAATGGAGACTTCTCCTTAATCCATGCTCCAATGCTTTCTTACATATATTGATAAACCCGTGTATACTCTTCTGCCATAGATGAACAAATTGAGGGTTATACCGGTCTACCCGGTTAAATACATGTGTATAGTTCTCTTATGTCGAAGGGGATAGTTGGTAAGGAAAATAACAGAGACATAGATTGAGGGATGGAGAGATCAATAAGAATAAAAAGAAATCAGAAACAAAATGAAAAAAAAGTAAGAGATGGAGAAAGAAAAACAAACTTGAATCAAAATAAAGAAATTAAGGGATGAAGAGAGTAAACAGGTTAGAGGTTGTGGATGAATTAAGAGATTGAAAAAGTAAAAAAGGCTTGTAGAAAGTTGGATAGTTTGGAGGTTTAACGTTAATTAAAGTGGTTGCAAAAAAATGGTCTGCTTACAACAACAACAAAAAAAAATACATTTTCTGATATAAGGGTATAGAAGTCTTTAACACAATTAATATTTTAAAAATTCAAAAAAATGAGAAAATTCCTAGCTAAAAATCTTACTCTAAGAAGGTGTCACATCATTTTGTGTTGGTTTTCTTAAATATATAACTGGTTTTCATAAATGACCACAATACAGAGAATGAGATAAGAATACAAATTGAGAAACATTACAAAAATAAAAGATGGTGAAGAAAATTCATAATAAAAAAACTTCACATAGGTCAAACTTGATCAGATTCTGTGTGATAACTAGGTTCTGGTTATTACTCAAATATTTATTATGTGAATTAATTGTTTATGTGAATGCATGCTTACATGGGTTAATTGCGTAAGTATATGTATTTCATGCATGTGATATATGCATAATATGTGGGTATACATACATACATATATATATATATATATATATATATATATGTTGAAGGCCTGGTTGGCCGACTTTCCTAAAAAGGAAAGTATAAATATTAAGTTTTGGGCATGAGGCAAGGTTTCTTGCCTCATTTGAAAACTTTGGGAGAATCAGAGAAGAGTTATCCGGAGAACAGGTTTTGAAACAAGTTGGTTTTGMAGTCTTCTTCAAAATCAAATAATTGCTTAAGGTGAGTATTTTCTACAAATTTCTTTTAAAAGCTTTGGTTATTGATCTTGAAAGAACTGTATCTTATCCTTGAAAATTAGTTTTTGTGCTATTTGGGTTTAAAACTAGTTGAAGGGTGTCCGGATTATTTTCTAAACCGGTTGAAGGGTGACCGGATTACCTTAAACCGAACATAGTATTGTCCGGATTGTTTCTAAACAGGACACGTGTTGTCCGATTTAATTTTACATCGATCAAGGGTTGTCCGGATTTGATAAATCAGACAAATATGTGTTTTCCGAATATGTACACCGGACAAAGGGCTAAGTGTTGTCCGGATTGTTTATCCGGATAACTAATCCGGAAGATCTATATTAGATAATTTTCAAGTATTGAGTATTTTAGACATTTATAATTTAATAATGTCTATTAATGAGTTTAATTATGGATTTTTGGGAAACTGTTTCTACCAAGCGTGGTGACGTAAGTCTATCTTGGTATGAAACTATATTTTGGAAAATATTCCTACCAAGCGTGGTGATGTATGTCTGTTTTGGTATGGAATTGAATTTTGGAAACTGTTTCTACCAAGCGTGATGACGTAAGTCTTTTTTGGTATGAAACTTATTTTAAGAGGTAGTTCCCCCATACGTGATGACTTTTGTTTGTTCTGGCCTTGAACTGGGAATGAGTACTTTCAGACGTGGTGACTTTTGTCTGTTCTGATAAGCAACCCTATTTTGATGGAGGAATAAGGGTGACATATCAAGGAGAGGTGTACTTGGAATAAGGGAGGCATTGTCATATGTGGTTATTACTATAACTCTTATTATTATTACTAATTGGATTTAATAACTTCGAATCATCATTTCTATGTGACCTGATGAATTAAAGATATTATTCCTATTAGAAATAATAATTTAGATGTTATTGAGAAGGGAAATTCGTTTGTCATAATGGGCAAGTATAGCCTTAAATCTTTCTATTAATATTTTCAAAGAAATAATCTGATGAATCAAATGG